CATACTGCGATTTGTTAGGAGGTATGTGTTAGCATCCTTATTGATATCTTCTGTCGCAGTATCGTTGTTATTACCATCATCACCGTCATTGGTATTAGCATCACTCTTAATATCATCATTCTTATTTTTTGTATGTGGCAGTATTATAGGTTGCATGTTTGTACGTATTAACAATACTATCATTCTTGATATCATTGTTCATTTGATTCTCAATCATTTTATCTTTGATATTCTTATTTCTATTCTTTTACAACTATAACTACTCTTGCCAATTTCTGTTGTTCGTTATTCTTGCTATTGCTAGTCTATCGTTAGTTCTGTTTCATTATTGTTACCATTGGTATCATCAGATATTCATTGATATTGTTATAATGATGAAGATGATGCTGACGATGATGCTGCTGCTGCTGATGATGATGCTGATGCTGATGATGATGAAACTGTTGATGATGGTACTGATGATGATGCTGCTGCTGATGATGATGGTACTGACGAGGACGGTGATGATGCTGAATCTGATGATAATGGTGATGATGCTTACGATGATGCTGACACTGATGATGATGCTGCTGATGATGATGATCATGATTGGATGCTGGTCATGATGTTGCTGATGATGCTGATGTTGATGATGATGATTACGATGATGAGGATGAGGAATGATGAAGAAGAAGAAGATGATGATGATGATGATGATGATGAGGATGATGTTGATGATGATGGTGATGGTGATGTTGATGCTGCTGATGGTGATGATGCTGGTGTGATGACGATGACGTTGATGAGGAGGAATGGAGCGTCCAGCGCCAGCACGGTATTCGTCGGGATCGTTGGCGAGGGATCGCTGGGGTGAGAAGCATCGTGGGGTTCGATATTTTTATGCCAGAGATGCTTTCATCAACCGATGGGGGTTTTGATGAGGTGCGCCCTTGGCCCTTGGCGTTACGGATCTCTTGTTTTGCCCAGAGGGTCGAGGTGCGGCCAAAGCTCGTCGGTTACCAGTGATCTGGGCTGCTTTCCCAGGGGACCATTAACATCACCAGTGCAGCTGCCGTCACCTTTTAGCGGGCGTTTTAGCTACGTGCCGCCAGTTGAGCAAAGTCATGCAGATGCCTGATTGGTTTCATTGCTTTAATGCGGCATCCCCCCAACCATTTCCGTCCATGTGTATTGTGCGACTACTTGGTGGGTGGGTTAGGGCACCGGTCGGTGGCACGACTATCACCAAATTTTGCAATGATGGCACGGCGTTAGTATACGTAATTTGTAGTAGGGGACGATGAGTTGTTGCTTATTGGCGAATTCATCCGGGTCGCTTTGCAAAAGGGTGCCGCAATGCTTGCGTTGTGCATTACTTGATAGTACCCGTAGGTCATATTGACGCAACACAACACGAACGAGTTCAGACAGGCCCAAGACCTTGGTCCGACGCTGCCTCCCAGTTCTGGTGTGGTCACGAACGGGCCCTACACGGTCATGCGTGGGTGCTATTCTTTGTGACTGTGGTCTGCCTTGCCGATGCAGGCTGCATGCTCGTGTGGTAGGCGCCTGGCGGAAGCATTCCATTTCTGCTCCCCCATCCCCTCGAGAGGTCGGCTCCAGCATGTCGTGACCGGCGTGCGACTTTCATCGTGCGTGGAGGAGTCCAAGTGTGCCTCTCGCGTCCTCCTTCCCGTCGTGGCACCCGGGACATGGACTGGTGGTCCATGACCCGTGGTCGGTGGGGCTTCCTGGCCGTCGGTTTAAAAAGGCAGCACCACGGCTTTGGCGCCCCGTGGCTCGTTGCCCGTCTCTCGTGTCGTTGCCCTTTCTCCAGTTGGCCTGACCGCATGGGGTCTCCGACATGGATCCCGTGCCTCGTGGCCCCAATCGTGACTTGAGGTCTCATGGTCGGATCTGGTCATCCTTGCTGGGTGGTCGTTTGGACGTCCTCATCGCGGGGTCTCAGGGAAGGACTTGGTGGTGTGCACGTCGTGCCTCGCTCGTGATCCTCGGTCCTGCATCCCCTTCCGATGTCAGACGCAAATCTTTCCCGCGACGTGGCGTCGCCCCCGGGCACCGGCATTTAAATGTTTCCGCGCCGACATTGGCGACAGCAAACGTAAAGAAGCTGGTCCCGTGGGCCGCGTCTCCAACATTACAAACCCGCGTTTGATTTCGAGGAGGGTTGTAGAGAGGTACTGCATGCGATCTTGGAGGTCTGTGGCCTGTGGCTCGTCGTCCTCCCTCGTGGCTAAACACGATTTTGGTTGTCGGTTGTGCGTGGCCTGTGGTCCGTCGTTCATCGGGTTCAGCTCCGTCGTGGGGTTTTACACCTGAGCTCTGGTGATCTGTGGTGGCATATGGTGTCTCGTGCTCCTACTGGTGGTTCTCTCGTGGCCCATTGTGGGAGGCAGGAGAAGGAAGGGAATTGCCCGAGAAGGTTAACTCATGCTGGGCTGGATCTGTGGTGTTCATCAGTGTTCATCGTTGCGACGAAACAATAGCAGCTTATGTTTTTCCCTCTTTTCGAATTTTGTTTCAACGCATGTAGACGTACATTTTCAAATTTGGCGGCCTCCGTCGACTGAAGTATCTGCTCTAAGTCGACTGCGTCAGGGCTGGGGTTTGAGTTCGTAGATGCAAGGGTTGCCGTGCACCCTTGCTATTTCAAAATCGTCATGCGGTTTCTGGGGCCTGGCAGAACTCGAATTGGCGCGTTACAGTCTGCTTAGGGGTCCTCTTCGCGTGGACCCTGGCCGATGGATCCAGCCTCTGCTCCGCATCTTGCGAGGCAAAGCAAAGGCTCGGCGGTGGCACCAGCCCGAAGTACCCACAGGCTCGAGCTCCCAGCCCGGCGCCGCTGCCATCGATTCTCTTGCCTCCGCTCTTTTTCGGCGGCGAGCGAGGGGGGAAGTGAGAAGGGGCGGGCCTTCGGAAGTTCCGCGGCCTTCTGAGAGGTTTTCGAAGCCTTCCCCGAAGACAGAACAGAACTTCTCAGAAGGCGCGAGGGCTTCCGAGAAGTCCCGCCGCCTTCTGAGAAGGCCTGCTCCTTTTCACTTCCCCCCCTCGCTCGCCGCCTATCCGCTCCTTTGCCTTCTTCTTGACGCTCCCGGCCCGTTCGCCGGCAGTTGCCCTGCTCCTGGCGGCCGCGGGGGCAGCTGGGCAAGGCTACGACTGCCACACCGGCCAGCCGCAGGCACGCCGGTGCGGAGCTTCCTGCCGCACGGGCGGGTGTGCGCACCGAGCACGGCCAGCATGCAGGACGGGAGGAGCAGGAGCACGAGGAACGCACGGGCGGAGGAGGATGTGGTGGCGGGACGACGAGGGCGAGGAGGCGGAAGAGGAGGCGGAGGAGGAGGAGGAGGAGGAGGAGGAGGAGGAGGAGGAGGAGGAGGAGGAGGCGGAGGCGGAAGAGGAAGGAGGAGGAGGAGGAGGAGGGGAGGAGGAGGAGGAGGAGGAGGAGGGGGAGGAGGAGGAGGAGGAGGAGGAGAGAAGGAGGAGGTGGATGAGGAGGACGAGGGCGAGGAGGAGGAGGAGGAGGAGGACCAGTGTAGACCCAAGAGTCATCAACGATGTTGGAGTAAACCCTCCCTCCAAGATCCCTCTTCATAGGCCCCTACAACGGTTCATTTCCATTGATGGAGCTGCCTCGTTGGAAGACACCCGCCTGAATACCCTGAAGCATGCCAAAACGTTGTTCTCGGTACCCAACGCCACGGATCAACCTGATCATTGCGTCTTGACGATCTTGAATCGTGCCAGAACGCCATTCTAGGACTTCAACACAGAGAACTAATGTAACTGCAAAAATATCATTTCTGGTACGTTGATGACGGGAATCCGTGAAACTCTTGAACATGTTGTAAACGAATGTGGACGGCGCTAAGGCGAGAGCCACATTTTGAAAAGGAATCGCCTTCAATCCGTGAAGCTCATGCAATTTTTTTAGCGAATGTGCGCCGCGCTAAGGCGAGAGCCACATTTTGAAGATGACCCGTCCTCCATCTGTGAAACTGTTGCCAGTCTTTAGGCTTCAGAGTCATTAGCGGTGAGGAAGTCTAAGGCGAAACGCCCGGCCCGCCCCAAAAGCTGGCCTCGGGGTGCGTCAGGGAGAAGTTATTTTTGAAGGAAAAGAATGAAGGAGGAGGAGGAGGAGAAGAAGGAGGAGGAGGAAGCGGATGAGGTGGATGAGGCGGAGGAGGCGGAAGAGGAAAAGGAGGAGGAGGAGGAAGAGGAGGACGAGGAGGGAGGAAAAAATGGAGCAGGAGGAGGAGGAAGAGGAGGAGGCGAACCAGGAGGCGGAGGAGGAGGAGTTGGAGGAGGAGGAGGAGGCGGAAGAGAAGGAGGCGCCGACACCTGGAAACTCTTGGTGCATGACCTTGTCACAGGGTCGAGCAATCTTATGACGATTAGTGGCAACGTTTCGAGCAAAGCCTCTGAGTACGCCTGATGCTCTGCAGCTAGGTGTTGTCGCGGCAGCTAAAATACGCGCCTGGGCTGCCATCGACCCCCCCTCTTTCCAGCTCGTGGTGCTGGGGCCAGCCCCTGGCGCGCTCTCCTCTAAGACCTTCCAGGCTTGATCCGTTTCCTGGGCCCCTCACGGCTCACCAATGATGGTCCTCGCCCGTTGCCCGTCGATTTAGGGTGGCCCAGACCTGACATCTTCAGGCATAGCGCAGTTGGGAAAAAGGAGGGACATGCGGATGATGATGATGCTGCTGCTGCTAATGATGATGATGATCATGATGATGATGATGCTGATGCTGATGCTGATGTTAATGATGTTGATGATGCTGATGCTACCGATGATGATGCTGATGATGAGCAGGCTGAGGAGGATGATGAGGTTGAGGACGAGGATGACGATGAGGATGAGGATTCTGGTGATGATGCTGACGATGACGATTATTAGGATGCGGCTGATCATGATGCTGATGCTGATGATTCTGCTGATGCTGCTGATGATACTGATGCTGATGATGCTACTGATGCTGGTGATGATGCTGGTGATGATGATGATGATGATGATGATGATGCTGATGGGGATGGGAATAGGGAGGGGGATGGGGATGAGCTTGATGATGATGATGACGGCGATGATGATGATGATGATGATGATGATGATGATGATGATGATGATGATGATGAGGATGACGATGCTGATGCTGCTGATGATGATGCTGCCGATGCGGATGATGAGGATGATGATGTGGATGAGGATGAGGATGAGGATGAGGATGATGCTGCAGATGGTGATGAAGCTGATGATGAAGCTGATGATGAGGATGAGGATGCGGATCGCGATGGGGATGGGGATGATGATGATGATGACGATGATGATGATTATGCTGATGATGATGATTATGATGATGATGGTGGTGATGATGATGAAGCTGATGAGGATGATGCTGATGACGATTCTGATTATGTTGGTGATGATGATGGTGATGATGATGCTGATGATGATGCTGATGATGATAGTGATGATGAGGATGATGATGTTGTTGGTGCTGCTGCTGATGATGATGATGATGGTGATGATGATGATGATGATGATGATGATGATGATGATGATGATGATGGTGGTGGTGGTGGTGGTGGTGGTGATGAGGATGATGAGGAGAAGGAGGACGAGGAGGAGGAGGAGGAGGAGGAGGAGGAAGAGAAGGAGTAGGGGCAGGGCGAGGAGCATGGGAGGGAGGAGGGTGGAGAGGAAGGGAAGGGAGGTTGGGAGGAGGTCAGGTGGCGCAGTCATATTATGTACTTCTCGATTGCCTTGTCGAGGCATCTAGGGGACTTCCCTTCCTGTGCAGAAGGCGCTGGAACGGTTTGTGGTCGCTTCGTTCTCGTCTCTGTCCTCGACTTTGTCCTGGTCCTCGTGTATGTGTCTTTGTGCAGTCCGCGGACTGTTGAAGCTGGTCGTGAACTGCGAGATTCTCCTGGGAGTGGCAGCCGTCGGGGAAGGGCAAGGAATCATTGTGACGCTCAAGGCAAGGCCAAGACGCTGCCACTCATAACTACCGCGGCGCCGCCCTTTACAAGCGTACATGGCAGGCGACATATGCAGTACAACTGGCTGTACAGCTACGATCTTTCACGCTGGCGTCGTGGTGTGAAGTACGTTCGCCCGTCGGGTACACGTGTCGACACCTTTGTGGAAGCGTGGCAGGCTTCGGCAGGCGGCGACAGCCATCCTTCACCAGACTGTGGGGGCCCCCCTTCCCTCAGCCCTTCCGCCAGCCCTCAGCTTGCCCTGGAGGGAGCGACCGAGCCTTCCCGTGCGCTTGGAGGCTCCTCCAGGCCACGGGAGCGGGCAGTCGCACGGCACTGCTCGCACACCGCGGCCTGCCCCGGCTAAGGCCCTCCCCCCGTAGTGACGCTCCGCCCGCGGGTCATGCGTCCCTGCCTGTCTCGCTGCTCTTTCCGCCTCTCGCTCGCTCATGATTGGCCATGCTGCCTGTCCCGGGGTGCTCCTGCCTAGCAGCAGAGCCGGAGTGCAGGTTCCAGGTTCCAGAGCCGGAGTGCAGCAGAACGCGCGCTTCATGCCGCCCGCTATCGCGACGTGCTGCACCAGCGCCTGGGCAGCAACCGCGTTGATAGACTTGCGCCGCTGGGTCCAACATCAATGGCATGAGCTGGCAGAAAATTCGTGGGCATGCCATTCCAACAAGTGCAGCCACCGGCGTGTACAATTTGTTTCGCGGAGACTTGCCAGCGCGACGGCCGACTGATTTCGGCACATCGCCGAGGGCGGGTTCTGACCGCATTTTGTGCCTCCCACCCTCTCTTGTGGTTCCGCCGCGGTGGGGGAAGTCGCTCCGCGCGTGCCAATAAGAGTTTCTCGGCCAATGCATCGATTTCTTTGGTTTGGGTTCTCTATCGGTCTCCCCGCCTCGCGCGGGCCTGCGGCGTTCGTTTTCCTTGGAATAGTGCCAGCGTGTGCCCCAAGCAGTAACTTCGTGGAAGGTGCAATGCAGAGCAATCCAAAGCAATGCACAGCAACGCAAAGCAATGAAATCTGGTGGGCCCCTGGCCATGGGCGGGGCCTCACGAGCGGGAGCTTATGGCCGCACCGACGGATTAGTGGCACCCATGGCGCAACAGCGGGTGGAAACTATGGGAGGAGTTTGTTTTTTGTCCACCGAACAGCTGGCGACACCCTGTGCTTGATTCCTCGGTTCCTCTGAGAATGGGTAGTAGTCTCAAAGTGTAGGCATTGTTTTGGTGAACATGTGGTCCGCTTCGTCGTCCTTGTCCATACGATCGTCGTTGTCCTCGTCTTCGTCCTGGTCCTCGTCGGCGTCGTCGTCGTCGTCGTCGCCCTCGTCATCGTCGTCCTCGTCATCCTTGCATCCTCGCACTTCTTCGTCGCCTTCGATTAGCAATGGGAGGGGTCTTGACCCTCTACGCGCTGCAGTCATTGACGTCTCTCACCGTGTCATTGCTGCATGTGGCCACTGTCCCCCGGCGTGGCAGGCGTGGCCACAGGCTCAGAAGGACGTCTGCTGCATCATCCTG